TTATATTTGCTCGCAATCTCAATGGTGTTTCAGACCCCTGTCAGCAAGTTGGAGTAATCGTCAATAGTAGAGACAAAGAGGTATTGACTTGAGTGTAATTATGTGTGATAGGGCTGGTACATGATGACAATATCTGGGAAAATAAGTTTTGATTCTGATGATATTATAGGACAAAGCGATAGAAAAGGGATGGTTTCTGAACAAACTTGAATTGAAAACTTGAAATAGGTACCTACTCTTTAAAAATGTAACCAAAATTCATACGGACACCATTTATTTTTTATTGCTAATGTCAAGCTTCTTAGTATCATCATTCTTGGCAGTGTTAATGCCTTTTCACACGTTACCGTTGCCGGGTAGCCGGTGCCGAGTACCCGGCGGCGCAGTATATACAATTTATACCGGAACGTGTTAAAACTAGAGTAAATGGCCATACACTGCGCTGCCGCACGGGTACCCGACGCCGGCTACCCGGCAACCGGAATGTGTGAAAAGGAACTTAGTGTATTTAACTGCTCAGTTCTTGTAGAACAAGATGAATAATCTGATGGTAGTCCTTTTTCAATCTGAGTGTGGCAAATAGATCTATTGTGCACAGAAGATAATTATGTCATGTTTCACCCCCTTTGAAGGACAAACGATTCAACATTTTATACGTTTTTTCTTCTATACAAGCTAATTCAATCATCAGCCTTGTACAATAAAAACACTCCTTAAATTTTCCATTGTACTTAAACTTTTATTTTGAGAGACGTACCGTAAAAATGCTATTTGAATGCGTCATTCTGTGTTTCAATCGTCGTCTGAATCATTCAATATTAAACCTTCAACGCTTATATTTTCTGTCGTATTTTTTAGTGTGCTCGTTCATTCTCATGAACTTTGGGAGCTTTTTAGGTTCTTTTTTGCGTTACTTGTTTTGTTCTGAAGTAGTTGTCTGTGTCATTGTTTCGTTGATGTAGTGCTTGTATATGGAATATGGAGTTATTGATGAAGAGTAAGTAGGTACTCGAAGTGTTCAACTTCTGTATATAGCCATGCAGAAATAGATGTATATTGGATTATTATGAAATAGAAGATTAAGAATATGAAACTTAGCTTAACTTAGCTTAACTTATAGAATATATAGAATAGAATAACTTTATTGTACACCATTAATAATACAGTACATACAGAAAAGGAAATGACAAATATAAATAAAAATAATAATGGGCACAAAGGCGGTCTTATCACTTATAGTGATTTCTACCAGACAACCTTTGGGTGGATATAATGAAAAGAAATATTTATACGGGTTGTGTACTAAGAAAAAAATAAATAAATAAATAACATAGTAACAATATATACATACATGTACATATACATACACATAAACATGCATACATATACACATACATACATACATACATACATACATGCATACATATACACATACATACACACAAACATACATATATACATGATTACATACCTACTTACACTTAAATATATCATTATTATGGACCACTTAAAAGGAAACAGTTTGATGATGACATTATAGAGAAGAGAGGTAGTGCTTCTTAACTTGGCCCTTAAACGCAGCCAACGACTTAGCTTGTCTTATCGACACTGGCAGTGCATTCCACAACCTAACAGCTTGCACAGTGAATGACTTGCTGTAGAATTTTGAGGAATGCTGGGCCATCTCCAATCTCAGATTCGCTGACGACCTCAGTGATCTCGAATGTGCGTCATTTAGGAACTTGAAACGTTCTTTGAGGTAAGAGGGGGCAAACGGATTGAACAGTATATTGTAAAGTAGGGACAAGATATGAGTATTCCGGCGAAGGCGGATTGGCAGCCACTTGAGTATATTGCGATATTCGGTAATGTGGTCATACTTGCGCAAACCAAATATGAACCTGATGCTGAAATTTTGGAGTCTCTCAAGCTTATCTAACTGCTCCTCGGTAAGATCTAGATAGCTGGCATCGGCGTAGTCAAGGAGAGGGAGCAGAAGTGATCGAGCGAGCGCAACTTTGGTTGCAGTTGGCAGAAAGTTCCGGAGCCTGCGTAAAGATCCTGCTGACGCAAATATTTTGCGGCTGACTTCTCGCAGCTGTGGCCCCCAGGAAAAGTCTTTGTCTATCAGGATCCCTAGATCCTTCACAGTGTCACTGTACGGGATTCTCGTACCATCAAAGACAATCGGTGAAATATGTGACCAGACTATCTTTGAGCGCAATCGCGGGGTACCGACAACAATGACCTGCGTCTTCGCAGGATTGATGTTAAGCCCATGAGCCTTACTCCAATTGGAAATCCGTACTAGGTCCCTGTTCACCATCGTCACGGCTTCAGAGAACTCATGAGGAGGCGCTTGTGAGTAAATCTGTAGATCGTCAGCATACAAATGGTAGGATGAAAGAAGTTCGTTGGAGATAGAGTTTATAAAGATTGCGAAGAGTAATGGAGAAAGGACGCCCCCCTGCGGTACGCCGGCAGTTGCATCAGACCATGACGAGAGTGAACCTTCAATGCAGACACGCTGCGGCCAGACAGGTAACTACGAAACCATTCAATTACAGCTGGCGATATGCCATGAGAACCGAGTATCCCAAGAAGTATATCGAAGTCGACAGTGTTAAAAGCATTGCTAAAATCTAGCAGGGTCAGCAACGTGAGGTTGCCATTTTCGATGCCAGATCTTATGTCCTCCGTGATGTTAATTAAGGCTGAGGTGGTACTATGTCCTGGACGAAACCCGGACTGGAAGGGATTAAGGAGATTGTGTTTGGTCAGGAAAGCACTAAGCTGCTTATGGATGAGGCGCTCAAGGACTTTGGAAAGGAATGGTAAAATGGAGATAGGACGATAATCAGATGGACCACAAGGATTTGGTTTCTTTGGTAAGGGGGTAACTTGTGCTTCCTTCCATGCAGAAGGAAAAACACGGCTGGACAGGGAATAATTAAGTATATGACAGATGACTGGAAGAATTTCATCCAGGACAGAAAGTATCATCTTGCGGCTAATACAATCATTACCCACCGCATTGGATGTGATAGCCTCTATGCTTTTCTTAACATCACCAGCCGTGAATTGATCAAACAGAAATGGAGAGTAATCGGGTACAGGAAGAGAAGAAAGATAGTTAAGTGTTACAGTTTTGAAAGAAGCATTGATAGTAGAAGAAGTGGAAAAATGTTTATTTAATGATTCTAAGTCTACGTCTTTGGAATGGTTATCCTGACGTAGCTTCCCGACTCCCATAGATCTGAGAAATTTCCAGACTTTGGCTGGTTCACCGTCCTCAACGGATTTATGAATGTGGCGGCGTTGTGCATCTCTACACATTCTGTTGCTGCGATTACGAATGGTAACATACCCGTCACGATTCGCAGGAGTTGGTTGGCGCTTAAACTTGGATTTTGCCACTGCTTTCCTCCTTATCATGTCCCTAATCTCCTCCGTCATCCACGGAGCTGGTAGGTGTTTAATTTTTATTGGACGAATAGGTGCATGGGCGTCGTAAAGTTCAGTCAGTTTAATATTAAAAAGATTGACTTTTTCATTTATTGTCTCAGCAGCAAAGAGCTCAGACCAGTCAATGCCGTCGGCATCCTCACGAAGTCGCTCGAGATTCATGCCACCGAAATTGCGCTGCAAAAGAATTTTGGGTTTAGGCTTCGGAGGACAGATTTTGTAGGAAAGAAAAATAAGATCGTGGTAAGAGAAGTTGTCAGCTGAGCATTGTCCATGCTTAGCTACATATTGGATAGAGGAAACAAGAATAAGGTCAAGAAGAGAAGGTAAACAATTAGGAAAGTGATGAGTGGCGCTCAGAGGAAGAAGAGTTAGGTTAAGGGATTGAGCAATAGATAAAAGTGACGAGGAGCGGAAATCTTGCTTGAGAAGACAGGTGTTGAAATCACCCATTATAATCGTATGACTGTAAGAAGGTGTATATTTATGGAGTAGATTTTCAAAGGAGGAGAAGTAATCGATGCGCAAAGATGGACAATAATAAACACCGAGCAATACCTTCGTGTGAAACAAGGTCAATTCCAAAAGAAGATGCTCACCCGCGTTCCGCGGCGGCGGCTGCGATGACATATCAATTATTTTATAGGAAATATTGTGACGTAGATAAATGGCAACGCCACCACCACCGCAGCCCGTGCGGTCGTTTCTTATCAATTGGAAACCAGGTAAGGAGTAGGAGGGGGAAGGAAGGCACGGTTTTAACCAGGATTCGGATACAAGGATGGCGTGGATATTCTTACAGTCTAGATCTGCAAGCATATCGTGGTAGTGAGCTGGAATACTCTGTGCATTTATGTGGACTACATTGAGATTCTTCGGTACATCAGCAAATTTGGAGCTGAGCGTGTCAGCTAGGGAAGGTAAACTGGATAAGCTATCATCATCACTATTAGTTATTACAAGACTATCAGTATCGCTTGCTGTATCAGTATAAATCATAAGTGTAGGTAATATAATAATAATTTTATACTAATTATAATAAAAATATATGAGGTATATATAAAAGAAAATAAAATAATTATAATAGATAAATGAGTACTTAATTTAAATATGTTACAAATTATGTATCCACCCGCCAGTTGTGTGTTAAAATAAAACAAAGAAAAAAATAAAAAAAACTACCACTTAACACAAAAGAAACGCCAGAGAACAATAAAATAAAATTAATAAAAAAGAAAAGTTATTATGGTGAGAAATAAAAGAATAACATACATACAAAAGAAAATTAAATAAATAAAACATGACTAAATATAAGCACTTTGGATCATAGACAATGCACGCATACATAAGATCCGGAACGCGACCATAGAAGCAACAAGCACCACATTGCACGCATCGCTCCATGAACGCGACCGAAACTAACCTCCTAACCTGACGTTTGACATGTGTCAAAACGGCAGATCAGAAAAAGTAAACAAAACAATGAAACAATCGGATCCTGATCACTGACTGCGAAATTACCCGCAATTTACATATCATAACGTCTTTGTTATAAATAAACTGGAAATAAGAAAAAGGAAGATATGAAGAGGGTAGAAACAATATTACAATAAGGCAGAAACAATAACATTATACTGGTCAAAACCGCAATCAGCTAATTTGAACAAACGATAATAGAATTATGAATATGAAGATGAAGATAAATGTAAATTAGAAACAGGATCATAAGTGGTGAATACTATAGTGATTTTAACATTAAGAAGGTGCAATATCTACTCCAAACCACCACAGTACACACAGTAAAAGGACTTAGTGCCAGTAATAGAATATGTTACCCAGATGCAGCAGAAACGCCGGACTCACTTTCTGCTAGCCACACGTACACGCCGCGGCCCAGTGGAAGAAGGCTTCGGGGCCACTGCCGCAGGGGACTGCTTGGGGGCTGCCGTAGGACACTCCTCAGTGATCGGAGCAAGACACCGCTCGGACACTGGCGCAGGCTCACCGATTGCATGGAGCTCGCCGTGGCTTACAATGCGGTGTCTTTTACCTTTTGGGCCGTTGATGTAAATATATCCCCGCTTCGTCCAGCAGTTAGCCACACCAAACCTTTCGCGTGCTGCCATGAAGACCCGATGTCGCGTCCTTGTCAGGAATTCAGACAAGGTGATACCTGAACCTTTCAGCCTAGTTTTAACGTGCCAAACCTCATCTCGGACATCCACATCCCGGAACTTCAGCAATATGGGTCTAGGATTCCTAGTGTTTGCCTGACTGCCAACTCGATGACACCTCCGGATGGCAGAGGCAGTGAAGGTCTTCAGATCCAACCTATCCCGCACCACCCCAACAACCTCTGATGCAGTATCTTCCTTTGACTGCTCGGGGACTCCATGGATAAGAAGAATCTTCCTACGGTTTCGCATCTCCAGAGCATCAACCTCAGTTACATAAGACTCCAACTGCCGCTGCAAGCACTCAAGAGTTTCAAAAATGAACTTTTTGAACTCCAAGTAGTCCGGTGGCATACTTAAAGCGCTGCCAGGTGCCAAATCAGGTGGTGATTTATGCAAATAGTCTGCCTCAAACCTCTCCATCCTCTCAGTGAACTTCATTGTCAAGTCAGCAACTGTTCCCTCCGTCGATTTCATTGTTTACTTGTATATTTGTAGCAGTTAGTACTAACAGGAAAATATGATAAACACACTCAACCAGCAGGTATTTACTTTAGTTGAGACGCAGAATTTATTCTGTTTTTTTCACGTATGGATTTCATCTTGGAGTTTGGCTTGGTTATAATATTTTTATTATCATAGATGTTTTGTTCGCTTTTCCATTAAAGAAATATATTTCGATGGTAAAGTTTTAAAACCTACCAGTGACTATTTTTGGAATGATATCCATTAAGCCGCTTATCAGATAAAACACGTTCACAGCCGTTCAAAAATACCAACATATCCGAGTACAAAGTGGGTGTATCTCCAAAAATATCTCCACACACGTATGTAAAGGTATTTAAAATAAAGGGATATGTAAAAGTGCTTATTGTTTATTCAAAGTTGCCAGCATTTTTAGTATTTTGTAAATGTTATTATTCTTATACAAGCTACGTTTAAAAAAACTGACTGCAACCCCCTCTTCTTTTGAAGTCGGAAAATTAATATACTAATTAACCTTTTCCTAAGTGTAAAAAATATTTTACTGAAAACCGTATGAAAATTGGATCAGTCAATTGTGAGATAACCGCGCACACACATACATACATACACGCAGATGAAACTGATTACATTATTTTTTTTATTAAAAACGGATATGTCGCTGGTTTGAACTCTATGTATGATCTACAAATAGTTATTTTGAGTCCATCTCATATACCTATTTAGAGTCGCGGAGAACCTAACGGATTACCGGGGCTCCGGCTCGAAGTGCAGGAGAAGGAACGGGGTGGTTTTCAGTCAGTAAGAGTCTGACACTACCTCCCGCCTCACCCAGGCGCGAACAGTCATTCGATGATTTTCCCGCCTTAAAAAAAACCTATGTAGGAGAGTCAAGATTTGATTGAATAACAATGTTCATTTATAACTACAGAAACTTCCCACATCAGGAAACCTGCCAATACTTCTACCTTATTTATTACAAAGAGATAATTAGGTTATCTGGCAACTAGCATATTTAAACTGTGACAGTATAATACCGTAGTTGTTTTTCACCAAATAACTAGTTAACAGTTGTTAACAAAAGACCTGTAAATAAGAGTAGAACGCTAAAAGTTTACAAACGACGATGTTTAAGACACTAAATTGTGACTAAAAGATCAACACGAACGGAGAAGATCCCTTGAAACCTATATAAATTTAATTAGACCACGATATTAGAGTGTAGTGACTGTCGTGGGATCTCAATTTTGGATTTTCAGTGGGTCAAATTATTGTCTCATTATTATTATCAATCAGAATACATCCACTGCTACACAATTTCTATATTTGGCAGGGATTTAGGAATTGCAATTAGTTTGGTTAATATTAAAGAATAGTCCATAATTCATATTCAAAAATCATAACATAACATCATGCCTTTGATCCCCGAAGGGGTAGTCAGAGGTGCACATTATCTACGGCACTTAATGCCACTGTAAAAATTGACACACTTTTCACTATTTATGTTTTGCGTTCCATGTCATAAGGTGTGGGCCTATTGCCATATACCAGGCACAATTCCAGACTCCGTGCTACTACTGGGAATTAAAAAAAAAAACCCAGTAATACTTTGCCCGACTCGGGAATCGAACCCACATCTAGCGACCACTCGGCCAACGAGGCAGTCTCATTGAAATGAATGAATTTGTGCAAGTAAACGTTTAAAAAGGGTTACACTTACAAATGCTGCTACATAGGACTAAAAAAAAAATTAGGCGTTACCTTAAATACAAACTCCTCAGCATTTTCCTTCGTATCTAACAAAAAATATACGACGCAATATTATGTTTTTAGCTCACGATATCGAGGCAACCCTACCCAAAATCCTTCATTGCCTCACCTAATAATATCTAATGGTGATTGACGGCGCAAAAACCCGATGTCACCCGAAGTTTTCCGATTAAGTGGCGAAGTAATCAATTGTAAATGGAGACACTCCTTTGGGTTTAGGACTTCATAAAGTGCCTAGATTTACTAGAAATGGAGATTGGGTAGTGAGAATAAATTGAAGAAATGTTCTATTTAGTAACATGTGTAGGTTGGTTAAGTGACATTGTAGTCTTCTTTTTTTTTTTTTAAAGATCGATGGTTTTCGGAGTTTCTTGCTTGTTCTTCTCCAATCGAAACTACAATTTGGAACGAGCACCTAGTTTCACTGACAAATCAAGTTGACATTTCAAAAGGTCCTAATCAAGGATTAATTGAAATAAATGCTTCGACTTTTTACTAGAAGAATGGAAATAATTAGAAAACAGTATAAATACACAAACCTCTCTTTTCTTTGCAAGCCGGCTACTGATCCCGCACACGATATAGAGGTACATACGTAGAAGAAAATAACATCTTATTGCCTGCTTCGGCTGCCTCGTTGGCCGAGTGGTCGCAAGTGCGAATCCCTAAATCCTCAAATTCCTAATCCCAAAAGGCCAGTAACGCACTTTTACGCCTCTGTGTTCTAGGTGTCCATGGGCGACGCCGATTGTTTACCATCAGGTGATTCATGTGCTCGTTTACTAGCTTATCCCATAAAAAAAGTTTAACTCGTCGAGTACCGGTTTTATAGACACAATTAAAGAACAATAGGTCGCGGTCACCGGTGACCGCTTGGTGTTTGACAGTTTAAAGTGGGTTTTACAATCATTGTACAGTTGCATAAAGTGCCGTAGTGTGCACCTTTGCCTACCCCATCGGGGATAAAAGGCGTGATGTTATGTTATGTAGCATCTTATTCTGAGACATCCAAATGCAATTTACTAAAGGAAACCTAAACGTTTGAAGATGATGGACTCTATCCCATATCGTACGACGTGTGGGTAGGTACGACCTTATTTCGGGACATTTTATATGGAGAGCTATTTATATTACTGCTTGTAGAAATATTTAGGTTGAGGTACGGTCACTAGAGTGAGCTAGTAAAATTCTTGGCTTGTTATATATAATATATAGGATTTCCAAATATCGATATGTGTAAGTTTTCCTGTAAAGGCTAGCCTGTATGTATAATTCGTTTTTGACACAAATGTGTGCTTCCTGCCCACATACATACATCTATCAGCAGCCTATAAGTGCCCACTGCTGAGCAAAGCCTCTTATCACACGAAGAAGGTTTGAGCCTAATCACCACGCTTGCTCAATGCGGGTTGGCGATTTCAAACTTATAATTAGAAATTATAAGCCCAGGTTTCCTCACGATGTTTCTCCTTTACCGTTTGTCAGTGGTATCTTATATAAATCTTAGAAAATACATATAACTCGGAAAAAGTCACATTGGTACTTTACTGTTGGTAGGTGTTAAACCTGCACTCTCTCTTATGCATGAAAAGTAAGCGTCTTGAAACTTCAGCTTTGTGCTTACACCCTTTTAAACTAAAGTGCAATCGCAACAGATTAATTAATGCAGTAAGATTTTATCATTACCGACTTAGTGCTTTATTATGATTACTAAATATGAGTTCTAATTAATTTTACTTAAAGATCGAACTCATGGTGTCACTCTACCGCTAGTTGCAATTTAGCAAAATATTAAAGGTCACACGTTTGGTACAACCAAAGTTTTAAAAATCGAACGTCTGTCGATTTACGAACATGTCTGAGACGAGTAGGCTAATTTTGAGCAACATTCCGACGCACATGCTACTAAGTGACAAGTGCTCAATTGGTAGCATGCGCTTTCGTACTTAAAATTAGCATGTTCTTTTATGGGGGGAAAATCATCGAATGACTGCTCCCGCCTGGATTAGGCTGGAGGGACTGTCAGACTCTTACTGACTAAAGACCACCCCGTTCCTTCTGCACGTCGAGCCGGGGCCCCGGTAACCCGTTAGGTTCTCCGCGACAAAATTAGCATGTTTAACAGTACCTTACTATTCTCCTTTATAAAAGGCCGGCAACGCACCTGTGACTCCTCTGGTGTTGCAGGTGTCCATGGGCGACGCTGATCGCTTACCATCAGGTGATCCGTCTGCTCGTTTGCCTCCTATTCCATAAAACAACCTTTACTAATAGTACCTACATAAAAACACTTAGAAAATAGAATCGTTTACAAAATGAGGACATGTTCATGTGTAAAAGATCCTATATTCTATACAGTCTAATTAACTCGACCCAAAACAAACAATCACTTAATTTTAATACTAAAATCCTGTTTCATGAATTGTAACAATTACCTAGCTATTTTGAACTAAGCCTGATGTCTAGACTACACAGACAATAGGTAATTGCCTAACAAAGGATAGGGCCATTGGCGAGGACAAATCTTTTGAATGGCATTCCTATGTCTTGGTTCATTGTCTCTTAAACTCTTAGTTGGCGAACTAATGTGAAGGATTGAGGATCGTGGATACATTTTCCATTAAAAAAAGAAGGAGACCTGTATGTGTTTGTTTGTGCCCCATTATCTCGTTATTGGCTGAATCGATTTTAATGCGGTTTTCGGAAAAGTGTTTACAGACTTTAAAGAAAGAGGGGGTTGAAGTCGGTTTTATAAGTAAGTAAGTAAATCATTTATTTGCGTAAAACATTGTATACATTGGTGTTAATATAATAATAATAGTGTTAATAATAAAAGGATTATTCTGTATTTCATGTTATACGTATAATGTGATAGCAAAACTTTTGATATTATTATTATTATGTTTTTGTATTACCTATAACTTTTGTAAGAAATTCTTAAATTGACTACTTAACTATATTTAATGGCTTACTCACAAAACTGTCTCGCAAGATAACTAGACTACTAGTTTCAACCCACGCTAGGGACTCATATTTATAAGCAGCAATGTTAATTTCTTGTCTAATATCTGGTATTAGGTAGGGGTGGTAACGAATTGTAGGTAATCAGTCTTTTCCAGTCCCCAAGCGGTCACCAGTGACCATTATAGACCTTATTTCCGATGTTTAGAGACTACTTTTGTATGAACAAATGTTGTGGATTTTTTAAGCGCGTATTCAGAAGT